CCCCAAAACCCCAAAACCCCAAAACCCCAAAACCCCAAAACCCCAGAAAGAGGGAACATGCTAGAAAAATAACTGTTTTGAATATGATTTAGCAGAAATTACTTTTCAGTGAGTCGAAATAAGGATGGCTGAGAGCTTCTTCAGCAGTTACTCTATCATCTTGGCTGAGCTTCATCATCTTGTCTAACAAGTCTAGAGCATCTGAGTCCGTCTTAAAGTCTTCATTTACTAAGTCATACCAAGGCTTTCTCTCCTTTGGGATATCGTCAGGCATGAGAATTCCATATCCATTGTCATGTGCTACCTTTTTGAATTCGTTTGAGCCATAGATAATGGAAAGCGGGAGAAGATTGGAGATCGTAAAGTTCTTCACCCTTGATGTATTATTAAGCGAGATGATAGGATGTCTTCTCATTAAGAAAGACAGCATAATTACTCCGACAGCCCATATATCAACCTTCGATCCTTGATTAGGAGAATTGAAGATAGTTTCAGGTGGCATGTATCCTTTAGTACCGGTTCTGTGTTTAATACTCATTTTCCTTTGGAGATCCACTATCTTTTGAACTAAATCATTCTCAGGGTTCTTTATTGGCTCTCCATTTTCATCAGTTTCAACCTCTGAGAGACCGAAATCGATCAGAATTCCTTTCCTGCTCTTCGGGTCCCAGAGAAAATTGGAAGGCTTGATGTCCCGATGGACAATTCCTAGATCGCTGAGATGCTTCACTGCACTAAGGAGTTGGAATAAATATCATTTAATATCATCTTGAGAGATACTTTCAACAAATACAAGGAAGCTCTGGCTCCTTTGGTATTCAAACACCAAGGAGACTTGGCTCTCCTGACGGTATCCAGCCACTAGGTTGGTCACAAATTCATGACCCTTAATATACTTGAGGATGTACATTTCAATAAGGATGTAGGGAGCATTAATTGTGGGGAAAATTCTTTTGACTGCAAATCTCTGGATACCATCATGGTCGTCTTCAACCTCGTCTCTATCATAATATTCAAGGCCTTTATCTGAGTCGTAATCGACAGTGCAGACAGCTTTGAATACTACACCATATGAACCTCTGCCAATTTCCCGCATAATTTTGTATTGGCCCTTGAGTTCTTCAAATTTACAGATTTTAGGGGTCTGGCCAGGCTCTGAATCCTTCATTTTTACCGGTTCAGCATCTAAAATAAGTCAGAATGGTTCAATCCAACAAATTTGTATGAAAGCAGTGAATTATTAGGATCTAACTTACTCTGGGCACCTTCTTTACGACTGCTGGTCTTCATTTTGTATTTGCGCTTTTGAAAATTTAATTTATTATATGGACAACATCTGAAATTCAATATATTTAGCACACACAGGGGTTTTGGGGTTTTGGGGTTTTGGGGTTTTGGGG